GTTTCCCACAGGCCACTGTGGGTTAGCCGCTGTGAGAACAGGACTAGATGGGCCAATGGCCTGATCCTGCAGGGTCTTCCTTTCCCTGCTGCTACTGAAGGTTTTGCTGAGTAGCTCTTGATGGGTTTCGGAGGAAGCCTAGAGTTTTCTGGGACAACCCAGGCTTTCAAACAACTGATGTCCTTCATACATTGTTGGACTCTGGCTCTCACCAGCATGCCAATGGTCAAGGATGATGGGAAGAAGAAGAAGAAGAAGAAGAAGAAGAAGAAGAAGAAGAAGAAGAAGAAGAAGAAGAGGAGTTTGGATTTGATATCCCACTTTATCACTACCCAAAGGAGTCTCAAAGCGGCTAACATTCTCCTTTCCCTTCCTCCCCCACAACAAACACTCTGTAAGGTGAGTGGGGCTGAGAGACTTCAAAGAAGTGTGACTAGCCCAAGGTCACCCAGCAGCTGCATGTGGAGGAGCGGGGAAGCGAACCCGGTTCACCAGATTACGAGTCCACCGCTCTTAACCACTACACCACACTGGGAGCTGTAGTCCAATGATTTGTGGACGGCACCAGGGTGAGGGAGATGGGCCTGGTAAATCAATGTGTTGCTGCAACAAGAGCCGTTTTGGATCCTGTCTGCTATGGGCATCTTGTAGCTTTCTCTCTGAACATTTCTGGAGTGTTTATGATCGGCCAAGCACTCCCAGAACGCTCGTATGCAACTCCCACTCAGCACACACCGGTATAATGCCACCATCCAAGTGTCTCTTTATAACTCTTCAGGGGACTGGCTTGATACTTTGCTTTTCAGGATGCAGCTGGCAGCAATTTGGTGACTTGTATGAATGTACCTTATGCAATCTTATGCACCCTGGTAGGTGGGAGGATGATTACAGGCGTCAGAAGAAGTCTTTCATGGTAAATGACAGCTCCTGATCATGCTCATTATCACCCTCTCAAAATGAAAACGCAAATACGTATTGGAAAGACACGTTCAGTGGGGTGGCAGCAAGTAACTTGGAGAAGGCCACACACACTTCTGTGCTTCCGTCGGGCAACTCTTCCACTCGCAGCTAGAGATAGGGGACAAATTCAATTCGTTCTACCTTTAACCTGCCCAGTTCACGATTGGTTAATTCAGTACAAGAACTGGAACACAGCCCTGCATTGAGATTTACACCCCTCCAAAGACTGCAAAGCAGCCAAGCAATTAATGGTGGAAACTGCAAGGAGGAAACTTCTAATTCAAGTTGCAAGGGATCTTTGCTGAATCTGAGCAAATGTTCTAGAAAGAGAACACTTAAAGGATGGGCCTTGCCACATTATACAGTGCCAAATTAGGCATGATATGGAACTGTTTTAAAATTCCTGTTGCAACTGCTCCTGCCAACCTAGCAGTTCGAAAGCACATCAAAGTGCAAGTAGATAAATAGGTACCGCTCCGGCAGGAAGGTAAACGGCATTTCCGTGCGCTGCTCTGGTTCGCCAGAAGCGGCTTAGTCATGCTGGCCACATGACCCGGAAGCTGTACGCCGGCTCCCTCGGCCAGTAAAGCAAGATGAGTGCCGCAACCCCAGAGTCTTCCACGACTGGACCTAATGGTCAGGGGTCCCTTTACCTTTACCTATGACCTCTGCAGTGTTAAAAGAGCCCAGGTATGGAATCTTTGGACATGCTTCCAACATGGCCACTTCCGCCTTAAGGAGGAGGTGTGTTGCGGGCTCTCACGACCCCTCCACGTGCGCAGGGGGTGGGTGGCCAGCCCTGTGTGACTGGGGGATTCCCAGCTGCGTCACTGGCCAGGCCGACCAAGCTGGTTGGTCTGGGTGTGTGGCCTGCCCGATAAGGTCAGGACGCAGCCAGGAGATCTCTCTCTTTCCGGCTTCCTGCTGCTCCGGTTTTCCCACCCTCCTGCCCTTTAAGGTTTTCATCACCTTTGACCTTGCTATGGACTTCGATTGGTCACCTTGGATCAAATCTATGCTTCCAGGTGCCATAAGAAAGCTGCAGAGATAGTGCAGGATAGAGTGCACCCCGGAAATGATCTCTTTCAGCTTCTGCCTTCTGAAAGAAGGTACAGGGTTATAAAGACTAGGACTAGCCGCCTGAGAAACAGTTTCTATCCAAATGCAATTTTGGTTTTAAACGCAGTGTAAGGTAGTCTCTATGGGAGTGTATTGTATTTTAAAAATGGGGTATCAGAGTTTTTAGGGTGCTAACTAGGCTGGAATAGCTGGGATAGCAGGCTTGTTGGTCCTGAATGTCTGATGTAGATTTTCAATTTCGTTGTTCTGTATGGGACAATGACAATAAAGATTATCATATTGATGAGGGGCCTGGTAGGAATTTTTCCACTTGGCAAATTGGCACCAGCCACTTGGTTTTCGCCTACCTCGTAGCAAATTGTCACAACTTTTTAAGGTTTGGCGGTTAAGCATTGGAATGTTTCTGGAGAAGAGAAGAGTGGAGGTCGTGCCATCACTTCCCCGCATATTGAAGGATTCTGGGGGGCATGGTCCTGTCCGAAGCCTGGGGAAGTGAGGGCCTAAGGCACGCCCCCTATCGGTGACCCCCGGGGGAGTTCCTAGTTGATGTGCATCAGCAGGACTCCCCCTACTGGTGGTTAACCCTTTCCGGACTCCCTGCAGATGTGCTGGAGTCAGATATAGTCGGTTAGATTCAATGCCTAAGCCAATACCGCTCATCACCTGTAACCAATAAAGTTGTGGCCTTTTTTAGCCCATTAACCTTAAATATTTAAGGTCATGTGTCTTTATTCAACCAAGGGTGTGTGTGTGTGTGTTTCGGATCTTGCCACGCAACCCAAATCGTGTTCCAGCCAATAAACCAATGCTATTCCCGTCTTCTTTCCGGTTAAACAACGGCAAGAACAAAACTCTCCAAATCCATAGAAACCCAAAAACAGAAGAAGTGTTTATTATTGAAAATATTTACACCATATCATCAGTGTGACATAAAAAGCCCCCGAGGATTGTCTACTGCATTCCCCAATGCAGACGAGACACTCTTGATGCAATGCAAGCCTCACAGCTCCATTGTCACCGTAATCTTTGTATCGTGCTTCCCTTTAGAAAAAAACAACAGCTCATTTCTGAGCCTCCCTCAAAAGAAGTTGAGAAATCTTTCGGTTGTCCTCTTTCCAGGGAAAAGCAAAGGCAGCTGAAGAAGCTGGTCAGCACTCTTTCAAAGCTCAGTGGTGAAGGAGAGGTGAACAAAAAGACAATCTGAGAGAGAGAGAGAGAGAGAGAGAGAGAGAGAGAGAAATACTACAGAGATGGTCCATTTAAAAGCTTCGTCTGCCAGCAAGACCAGTATGTAGCACGGAAGGAAAATTCTGCTCCCAAGACCTTGAAAACAGCGGAGAAGGTCCGTGTGCAGTTTCTAACCCTCCATTCCTCACATGTCCACCTTTTTTGGGTAGGTGTGTGTGGGGGGAAGTGTTGTCTTGGACATAGAAACAGGCTTGTAAATCGCCAAGCTAAGTGAGCTTCACCTCCAGACCCCTAGGAGAGTAAGATCACAAGGCGGCTAGATCTTTTGTTGCCGTTGCATTCAGGTTACCGGTGCTCCACAAATGACGAAAATAGGGACATGAAAGGCCAATGGAGAAACGTGAAATTCTTGAGGGCTAGCACCTTCTGTGGGCTGTGATTTGCAACCCACACAGGTGGCAAGGGGATGGGAGAGTAAGGCTACGGAGAAGGATGAGACATTCCCAGATGGGTTATTTCTGCAGGACAATTGCACAGTTGCTGGTAATAGGTGTGTGTGTGTGTGTGTGTGTGTGTGTGTGTGTGTGTGTTCTGGATCCCTGCCTTTTAGGTGGGGCTTCTTTTGGGTGGGTGATGCAATATCCCAGCCCTCCAACCGCAGTATTGTGCAGCTCTGGAAATGTGACTTTCCTTCTGATAGCTTGGCCCCAGTGCTCCTGATGGGTGGAATGTGGCTGTGTCAAAGCTGCAGTGGTTTAGAGGTGGACCTAAGGTGCCATTACTGACCAGTAGCACAGATCTTACAACTTGAAACCACCCAGAATTGTGAGGTCGTGTTTGTGTGCGTCAACATTAGAGGTTGAGGGCTGCTCCTCAAACGCAGCATCCTTAAAATAAAATAAAATTGGCACAGAGCTTCAAGACTAGGATTGCAAGAATGTTCAATAGTAGGGAAAGGATCACCTGGTAGGGATTCCTTAGCTGTGATTCTGGCACGGCGGACAGTTGGTTTAGATGACCGCTGGGGTCTCTTCCAACTTTAGATTTCTTTGGCTCTAGGCCCAGAGCTCACTGGGAGCAGATAGGCTTTGCCTTTAGGAGGTCCTTGCATCAATCCCCATCATCTCCAGGCAGGGCCGCAATCCAAAACCCTGGACAGCCGTGGCTGGTCAGTGTACACAATACTCTCCTAGATGGATCATTGGTCTGCACTGATGCCAGGCAGCTTCCCATGTTCCTAACTACGATTCCTGCAGCCACTTTTGCTTTATAAATAAAATAAATAAGGCGGCAGACCTGTGCACACTCACTCGGGATTTAAAGCTTAGTAAACTTGCATAGGATTGGCTTGTTAGTTTTCGAAAGGCAATGGTCTCTCGCATAAGATCCCTTCATTTAGCAGGATCCCCAGCAAACAGAAATTCAGGGTCTCCCTGAAACGAGGGTAGGTTCCCTGTTACAGTGGGGTTGTATGGGCCTGTCTGGAGATTCCCCATGACGGCCTTTGCCCAGTATACCTGAAGGAGTGTCTCCATCCCCATCGTTCTGCCCGGACACTGAGGTCCAGTGCCAAGGGCCTTCTGGCAGTTCCCTCGCTATGAGAAGCCAAGTTACAGGGAACCAGGCAGAGGGCCTTCTTGGTAGTGGCACCCGCCCTGTGGAACGCCCTCCCACCAGATGTCAAAGAGAACAACAACTCCCAGACTTTTAGAAGACATCTGAAGGGAGCCCTCTTTAGGGAAGCTTTTAATGTTTAACAGACTATTGTATTTTAATATTCTATTGGAAGCCGCCCAGAGTGGCTGGGGAAACCCAGCCAGATGGGCGGGGTATAAATAATAAATTATTATTATGGTTGCAGTTCTCCTATTTGGGTTTTCAAAGCATAGGGGATTTCTGGAGGGGAGAGTGTGGGAAAGCAATAACTGGAGAACACAGTAAGGGCTGTGGCACTCCCTCTGAAGGTTGTGGACTCTCCTTCCTTTTTAAGCAGAGGTTGGGTAGCGATTCCTGCATTGCAGGGGGGTTGGACTAGATGACCCTCAGGGTCCCTTCCAAATATATAAGTTTATTACTCTAATATAAGTTTATTACTCTACCACATGGACGAGGAGGAATTGTGACAACCAAGGGGTTAAAAAGAGAAAAAAGAACACAGGGAGAAAGTATTTTTCTGGTGTGGGAAGGAGGAGGAGGAGAAGGAGGAAAGAGAACAAAACTCCATAGTCAGCTGGTGGTTGGCTGGGGCTTGTCACACGGCCGCCGTCTGCTTTATACTGTGAAAACTAATCCTTGTCGGAGAGGTTGGGATGGACATGGCTCGAGCCACGCGGACTCGAAGGGAGTGGTGGTCTTGCCAGCGGTGCCATCTCTTCCGGGCTGCAGAACGTACCTAGTGGGAAGGAGAGAGAGAGAAAGAAGAGAAAGAGAGAGGGTGAAAGTCAGCAGTGAGTCAACGGTGTGATGCAGCAGCAAGAATAGCTAATGCAATTCTAGGCTGCGTCAGCAGTCAAGGAAGCGGTAATTCCAATCAATTCTGCCTTTGTCGGACCCCACCAGGCAGCCCTGTGTCCCGTTCCAAGCTGGAACATGTGCAGAGGAGGGCAACCAAGGTGATCAAGGGTCTGGAAACCAAGCCTGATGAGGAACAGTTGAAGGAGCTGGGAATGTTTAGCCCAAGGAAGAGGAGTCTGAGAGCAGATACGATAACCACCTTCAAATATCTCAAGGGCTGTCACACGGAAGAGGGAGCAAGCTTGTGTTTTCCTGCTCCAGAGGGTAGTACGAAATATCAGGAAGAACTTTCTGACAGTAAGAGCTGTTGGAGAGTTGAATGGGCTCCCTCAGGAGGCAGGGGCATTGCGTGGGAAGGGCCAGGGTGGCCGTAGCCCCAGGGACATGGCCGTGTTGGCCGGCTGGGCTCCCTCAAGCATGGGTGGGTAGGCAGGCTGGCAGGGTGGCCCTGTGAAGTCTCCGTGCCCCATGCCTGCCTGGTGATGAGTGTCTGGCTGGTGCAATGGGTTTTGTTCACCCTCCACACCCAGCCCCTGCTCCTGCCTGATTCCCCCCCCCAGCGCCAATAAAGGACGCAGTGCCACAGTCAGGGGGCAATAGATTCTCTTTCCTTGGAGGTTTTCAAGCAGAGATTGGGTGTCCATCTGTCATGGATGCTTTAGTTGAGATTCCCGCATTATAGGGGGCTGGACCAGGTAAATCTGGGGGTCCCTACCAATTGTGCAGTGGGACGCGGGTGGTGCTGTGGGTTAAACCACAGAGCCTAGGACTTGCCGATCAGAAGGTTGGCGGTTCAAATCCCTGCGACGGGGTGAGCTCCCGTTGCTCGGTCCCTGCTCCTGCCAACCTAGCAGTTCGAAAACACATCAAAGTGCAAGTAGATAAATAGGTACCACTCCGGCGGGAAGGTAAACGGCGTTTCCGTGCGCTGCTCTGGTTTCGCCAGAAGTGGCTTAGTCATGCTGGCCACATGACCCGGAAGCTGTACGCCGGCTCCCTCGGCCAATAAAGTGAGATGAGCGCCGCAACCCCAGAGTTGTCCACGACTGGACCTAATGGTCAGGGTGCTCCCTTTACCTTTACCAACTGTGCAATTGTACGAGACTGTGTGTTAGAGGTAATTTCTTTGGGGAGGAGCTAACCTGGAGGCCAACTGAGCAGAGGGACGTCCTCTCATAGCCCCGTGAATCTTGGTTGTGAGACTAGGACTTGGTCGGGAGAGGGAAGAGCTGTGGCTCAGTGGGACAGCATTTGCCTTGCATGCAGGAGGTTCCTAGGTTTGATCCCCAATACCGCCTCTAGGTAGGGTTAGGAAAGACAACGGGGAGTGCTCTGTCCATGTGGACCAAGGCCAGACTACATAACTTGCTGATCCACCTTTTTTTTTTTTTTTTGCCTCTGGCATGTCACCCCCAGAAGACTGCATGTGAGCAAACATGGGCCTCAGATCTAAAAAGGTTCCCTGCCCCTTAGCAAAAGCCTTGCTGAGTAGCGATGCCCTCCTGGTCCTACAAATCTGGTGGTTCTGATTTCTGATGGATGCTTTCGTAACTGCATGCCTCCTTCCTGAGCGAGGCCTGAAAAGCTTCTCTCAACAGCGATGTGCGGGCAGGTGGGTAGCTCATCAGTTAAATCGTGATTCATAACGGGCTATTATGACAAGCAAGCTCCCAGGCTGCTGAATTCGTAATAAAAGCCACGCGTACAATGAGGCAGATTGTTGCTTGGTGCTCCTAAGACAATCTCGCTGTTGCAAAACCTGCTACTTAGAGAGAGATTTTCCAGGCTATCAATGCTGCACATTCACTCACTCACAGCCCTTTATGGCTGACTCATCACATAGTGTCTTTCTACAGCTGAATGAATAGCTGATTGCAAGTTCAGGTTTCTCAGAGCTGGCATATCGGGACTACAAATGAAATCAGCCACCTTGGGTGAGGTGGTACCTTCTCTGTGGAATCGATATTTCCCAAAGATGAGAACCGCATTCCACACTGCCTTATGTACAGTGTCTATTGTCTAGTCCCAAACTTGGGTCTCTAGCTGTTTTTGGACTACAACTCCCATGATCCCTAGCTAGCAGCGCCAGTGGTCAGGGATGGTGGGAGTTAGACTGGTTAGTTGCTTGTTGCCCAAATGTCCCCAGGCGACTCGGAGCACATTTAGAAACATAAACACATTGCTGTTTAACAGATTCATTCAAAACACCTGCAATTTGCACACACAGCATACACAAAACAGCAGCACCCCACCCTCAAATGGCAACGGAAAACTTTGGCAGCACATAAGAACAGGGTTGAGGGACGCGGGTTGCGCTGTGGGTTAAACCACAGAGCCTAGAACTTGCTGATCAGAAGGTCGGCGGTTTGAATCCCTGAGACGGGGTGAGCTCCCGTTGCTCGGTCCCTGCTCCTGCCAACCTAGCAGTTCAAAAGCATGTCAAAGTGCAAGTAGATAAATAGGTACCACTCCAGTGGGAAGGCAAACGGCGTTTCTGTGTGCTGCTCTGGTTCGCCAGAAGTGGCTTAGTCATGCTGGCCACATGCTCGGCCAATAAAGCGAGATGAGCGCCGCAACCCCAGAGTCGGCCATGACTGGACCTAACAGTCAGGGGTCCCTTTACCTTTAAGAACAGGGTTAAACAGTCACCACCTCGCTGCTCAAGCCTTAGCTGTGCAACTCCGATTAACATGTTAACAATATCCGGTCCTCCAGCACAACAGAAATAAGCATAAAATCCAGCTGCTAAAAATCCCTGCGCGCGCGCACACACACACACACACACACACGATTGGATTGCTGTATTTCTATTTGAGTGCAAGTGGCTTTGAATACTTTTAGCAGAGAAGAAGCTGACATAGTCATTTGCCAACCAAAATAAAGGACCATTATTATTTTATCTTTTGCAACGGACTGGAAGCTGTGATGACACATCTGAGGCGAGAGTTCCAAGCTTCAAAACCTCTTGGATTTGATCAGATATAGAGGCTGACTCTTCCGTGACCTGAAATGTGAGCTGCAGGCCATGTTTAGCACCTGCTAAAAAGAGCCTGCGGTTTGCTTTTCAGAGCTCCTTCCTGACAGAGAGAGGGAGGCAAAGCGGGTGTGAAGTCACAATGGAGAGAAGAAGAAACTGCTTCTTCTTCCTGATATTCCTCTCCATTATCTCTCTCATCTAGTCTAATCTTCCCTGGCAGCTTGAAGGCAGAGGGGCAAGGATGGTTAGCAGCCAAGGCAGAGAGATAACCTTAAACAACAGAAAAGGACAGAAAAGCCCATTTTTGTGTGGTTTCCAGCTGGTAGGGGAGATTAGTTAGAGGACAAGGAATGAATGGATGTGCTTTCTGCCCTGCAGAGCTGTTCGTTACAACTAAGGCTGAGTAATGATGGGATGGCAGGTACTGCTGAACGATTCCCCCCTTCTAGTGTTTTGAATCACCAAGGGATTTGTCCCCCTGCTTCCTCGAGAGAAAATACATCAATTATGGGCACCACATAGATGCTTATCTATAAACACCGCTGTTATAAATAAAAAAGCCAGCTTGCTTCAAATGGATCGGAGGAGAAATGGCAGGACTCCTCTTTCTCCACGGCTGGAAAGTGGCTGTCGCTCTTAATTCACGCTAGGAGGAAACAATTGAATCTGCTGGCAAAACGTCAGAAGTAGTTGATCTGCAAGATTGTTTTTCCAGTCAGATGAATACGATGTATTCCCTCGGCATGGAAAATAACTGCCCCATTTCCCAGATGCGATGGGCAGATAATCTACCCTCCAGCTGTCTGTCTAGGTTGGCCTTCAACAGGTGAGTGCCCTGCAGATGTTTCCATTGCCATCTCCCATCAGTTCAGTTTTGCTGGTTGGTGCTGGTGGGATTTGCAGCACAAAACATCTGGAAGGCGCTGCCTTTGCAAAGGCAATTGTATAATCTCTCCTTTCTAATTTGTAAAGAAAGGGCTTTTGTTTATTTTAAAGTTTACTCTGCCTTTCGATTAGATGCTTACAAGGCAGCTTACAAAAAAAGAGAGTTAGAAGCAGCGGACACTAAAGGCAGATTACGTAACAAAACAAAAACGAACCCTCTTCCCACAAGCACATAAAATGTTAATCAGCCCAAAACCTGGTTATAGAGAAACATTTTTGCTTGGTGAAAGGGGAGGGAAACTTTAACAAGCATACATGCTGTGCTTAAAAAGGCACAGGAGTATAGGAAGCCGCCTTATACTTGCTGGAGTATGGCAAATATGTTGGAGTGGTGTGCCAAAATGAACAGTCTGGCAAAAGCACGTCAAAGTGCAAGTAGATAAATAGGTACCGCTCTGGCGGGAAGGTAAATGGCGTTTCTGTGTGCTGCTCTGGTTCGCCAGAAGCAGCTTAGTCCTGCTGGCCACATGACCCGGAAGCTGTATGCCGGCTCCCTCGGCCAGTAAAGCAAGATGAGCGCTGCAACCCCAGAGTCGGCCACGACTGGACCTGATGGTCAGGGGTCCCTTTACCTTTTTAAGGCTGCCTGGTGGGGACTGGTGAGAGAAAGCAAGAGGACACCCAATGCCTTGTGATGAGAGACTTCACTTAGAATGCGTTTTGAGCCTCTTGGTCAGAGGCGGCCAATATGGAGCCTGCCAGATGTTGGATTTAAACTCCTATCAGACGCCGACAGCATGGCCGGTGAACAGGGATGAGGGGTGTTGTGGTCCAGGAACATCTGTAGGGCACCATGTTGGTTTGCTCCTGCATTAAATTGATATGGGAAAAGGAAGTTAAAACTGGCGACAACAGGACCGCCTCCTGTTCCAGGCTGAAATCTGCAGGGCTTGCTTTTGAAGAGTCCAGGGTATGGGACCTGAGTGTTCAGGACCACGGCCAGCTCATTCTGGGGC